GTAAGATTTAAAGTATTTTATTTTTAAATAATTAAATAATATATTACTGAGTGTGATTTTTTTCAGGTTCTCAACAGTTTTTAAAATGTCAAAAACTGAAGTACTGATAAAATGTCTGAGACAAATGTCTTCACAAAAAACTACTGCCAATATTTGCATCGTTGGTGCAGGACCTGCTGGATTTTATTCAGCTCAGCAAATCTTGAAAGTATGTACATTTTTACTAATTTTGTATTGATTTATTATAATTAATTACATAAAAAAATCTTTAAAAAATTGTAGAGTATCGCTAGTGTTAAAGTAGATATTATAGAACGATTGCCAGTCCCTTATGGTTTGGTGAGATATGGTGTAGCTCCAGATCATCCTGAAGTAAAGAACGTCATAAATACTTTTCATAAAGTAGCTAAAGATGAAAGAGTGCAGTTTTTGGGTAACATAAATGTTGGAAAAGACGTTAGTGTTAGCGAATTGAAGGAATATTATGATGCAGTCTTATTGGTAATACATGTTTATTTGAAAAAAAAAAAAATTTATATGTATATATATATCTCTTTTTATTTAGTTGACATTTCTAATTAAAGTCTTATGGTGCTGAAGAAGATAAAACATTGAATATTCCAGGAGAAAATTTAGAAAATGTTATACCAGCAAGAAGTTTTGTAGGCTGGTACAATGGTGTTCCTTGTGATAAAGATTTAGATATTGATTTAGGAGTAGAAGATGCTGTTGTCTTAGGTCAAGGAAACGTAGCCATTGACGTTGCTAGAATTCTTTTGTCTCCCATTGATAAATTGAAAGTAAGTAATAATGAGCGATTTTTTTTTTTTAATATCAACGTCTCCAAGAAATAAAAAAGTTGGACGTATCTCAGATAGCGCTTTTTCCCAAAAACTTGAGATAACTCTTTTTTTCTTGGGGCCATCGATGTACTTGTGCATTACTAAAAAGTATAATTTTAATGAAACATTTTTTAGAACACAGACATAACGTCTTACTCTCTTGAAAAATTATCACAAAGCAAAGTCAAAAGAGTTTGGCTTGCGGGGAGAAGAGGTCCATTGCAAGCAGCTTTTACCATTGCTGAACTTAGAGAACTATTAAAACTAGATAATTGCAAAACGTGTTGGAGAGCGGATGATTTTGATGGTATAAAAGAAATCGTTCCCAATCTCGTAAGGCCCAGAAAAAGATTGACGGAACTAATGTTAAAATCTGTCGAAGACGTAGCATCAGACGTACGACAATGGGAGAAAGAATTTCATCCGATATTTTTACGCAGTCCTGTAGAAATTTTAGGATCCAAAAGAGTTGAAAGAGTTAGGTTTTGTGTTAACGAATTAGTAGGCGAGGATATGTTGAAACAAACCGCAAAACCAACAAATAAATTTGAAGAAGTGCCGTGTGGCTTAGTAATAAGAAGTATCGGGTATAAGTCTAATCAAATTGATGGGTATGTTCCTGTTGACTTGAAAAACGGAAAAGTTTTAAATTCGGCTGGAAAAGTAGAAAATAATTTGTACGCGGCAGGGTGGGTTGCAACTGGACCCACTGGTGTAATTCTTTCAACTATGACGGATGCATTTCGGGTTGCGCAATTAATGGCTCGAGAACTGAAAGTTGTTGGACATAAACCTGGTTATCATGAATTAAGAAAAGTTCTGTTGCAAAAAAACATTCACCCAATCACTTACGAAGGATGGCAAAAAATAGATGAAGAGGAGTGCAATAGAGGCAAAAAACTGGGAAAACCTAGAGAAAAAATTGTAGATATTTCTGAAATGTTAAAAATAGCCTCGAGTTAATGTTAATAAAAATTTCATATGTATATATATTATATTACCAGCGCCGCCAACAAGTACTTATACACTTACTCGAGTTGTACTGTATATTCGCGCGATAAGCGCTAAGTGGCGTATACTTGCCAAGGCAACTTTTGTAAAAGTCGAGGCAAGCCGAACGTGCCGAGCTCCGAGCGCAGACTGTAGCCTGCAGGGGATTTAAGAAAGAAGGAAGAGAAAGAGCGCGCGCGCACACAGTCAAACTCACACGTATACGTACTTATGTATCCCCATCCTGCAGGGCACAAATCACGCGCGCGCTAAAATCGAAAGCCCGGCGAGGTATAAAGATAGCTGTCGCATCCGCATAGGTGTGTACAATATGTATATATACATCTCGGGATTGTCGGGTGGTCCGCGCATATATCGAGTTCGGAGTTGTAGGTATATGTATATAGGATGTACTTATCTACTTGCTCTGGCTGTGTCGACCCGACCCCGACTGACTGCACCTTCGACACGGTCGGTGTGCCCCCCCCCCTTCGGGTCTCTCCCACCTTCTTCCGCGTCTGCCGCGTGCGCTTCACGGGGAGTCCGGGGTTCAGTGCCCCCTGCTCTCTCCGCTTCCCCGTTTTTCCACCCCACGAGCGCCCCTGCGTGTATATAATATATGCTTCCCTTTCTGCACCCACATATATATGGGTGGTGAGGGGCCGGTGGACTTGGATTCTGCGCTTTTCGCAACACTTTCAACAAGGGTGGTGTGTGCGCGGCATAAGGTCCCGGTGTCCCAGCGGCCCCATATATAGTATGTGTGGTGCTCTCTGATGATGCTCTCTCTCTCTCTCTCTACTCTGCAACCCCCGTGCGATTACGTGTGTATATATGATTGCCGGCGGGCGCGTGGCCCCGGGGGCTGACGTCCTGCAGAGAATAAAACTATATGTATACAATACAGTGTATATGCAGAAGGGGTGGCGCGAGGCGCTGTGTGTGCTTAATATCTACGTGGGGCACGTATATAATACATAGAGATGTCACGATACATAAATATACTCTCTTCCTTAATTGTTGTATAAACTGGTGTAAATATTATTTATGATTTGGTTGGAGTAAAAAAAAAAACAAACTATTTTTGTCTTGGGAATTTGGTGCTTGGTGTACACAAGAAATAGAAAGCGGGGTGGACAGTGTATAAGTATACATGTAGGTATATAATAGTTTTAATAGAAACAATTTGGTCAATCAAGAATATCGATGCCTGAGTGTGTTTTATATTAATAAAAGAAACAACAACAACAACAATGTGTTTGTTAAAAGGATACGTGAAAAATATCTTACTTGGTTCTCAATAATCACAAAGGGAAGTAAACGCTTAAGAAACTGAGTTTCGTGCAAAATTCGGGCAATACCCGGTTACCAAATCGGTATTTAGAAGTATGTAGCGTGTACCTGTAGTAGGTACAACCTACATGAGTTTCGAGTTTTAAAAGACATTAAATATTCTTTTTCATAAATTGTGCGTTTGAAAAAAGTTATTATTCTCCCGAATAATTGACGGTTGAAGATATCCTACATGCGTGTCCAACATTTATTTTTTTGTACTTTCTTTGGATTCGTTTACGAAACTGTTGCTTATAAAGCAAACTTGATTTATATTTCATAATTTAAAAAATGTTTGAGCATGACAATAAAATGTCACATGTGCCGCGGTTCTAAGTAAGAAAGAAACGTATTTAAAAAAAAAACTACTATACACGTTTAATTTACTGAACAGAAATGAACAACTAAAATATATAGATAATATAACATCTTATACCTGCAGGCGTTAACGACCTTTCGTCGTGCAAACTTGTTTTGTATAATACGTTGATTAGATATTTTTATCCTGTGAAATAATTTAAATGTAATACCCTCTCTGAAAAGTTGGATGTTTTACTTTTGAACTTGGCGGCATTTTGGCCTCTCGAAGTTTGACAGTCGACTTCACGTGATAGGTCGACAATCGACAAGTGTATTTCTCTCAGACGTATTTTTAAAAAAGTAACCGAAAACACCAAAATCATATTTAAGTAGATTTGTTATAATTTCTCAAAAATGTAACTTTGTGTCATTTGTATACAATTGAAGTCTTATCTGACTGAACGTGATATAATCTCAACATTAATTTATATCTCAAGTAGTAAGTAGTAAATAAAATACATACGTTAATTAAATAAATTATCCTACTAAATCCAAAAGCTGACACACTAAATCCAATGTATTTTGAGAAATTTTTTAATTTTATAGTTTTAAAAATGTACCAGAATAACCTTACTTTAAAAAAAAATTCATTCAATACATTAATCTGCAGTGAATATCAACAAGGATGTTATTCATGATTTGTACAACACTTTGCTGAAACTACGGTATCCTGAAGTTGCTCAAACATCCATCGATGAATTTGAAAGTAATATTCTCACTGGTACTAAGAGACTAGATTTTCTATCTTGGGTACTTCAGGAAGGTTCAAGTAAAAATACGGAACTTCTCAGTAAATTTAAAGACAATTCTTTAAGCAGTAAGAATTTTGTTACCAAACTATACCTAATTTATGAATTTCTTCCTAATATTGACAATTGACAGTTTATTATTTCATTTCAGATAAACTTGTGAAATGCTTCACTCATATTGGACTGTGCACTGATGAAAATATTATATTAGTATGTAATGGTTTATTGAAGCAATACTTGATGCACTATCAAATAAATTTTTAAATAGTAAATCAGTTGTATCTAACTTTCAGGGGAAATGTGACATCAACAAACAAATACATTTTCTGTCTCTTTTGACTCTATTTATTAACAACGTTCATTTGCCGGATTCTCCATCTCCAACAAATCATTTAAATGCTAATAGTATTTCAGAAGTGGTACAAGTGAAAAATTATTAATTCAGTAGCATGTTTTTTACATTCTAGAATTATGATTAAAATGTATCTGTAAAATTTTTATAGATTGTCAATGAAGGGACAACGTTATCCAATCTACCAATCAATGTCACTTGTAGAAACAACATCGATGCGAGCTGGAATGAAGACAGATTTTCGGAGTTAACGAAAAATACAAACGTCAAGTTATGTTCTGACTTAAGTTTTATAGATGTGCTGTGTTTGAACATTAAGGTAAGCACATTGTTTGACTTAAAATAATTCGAGTATGTATAACCAGGGATTGAGTAATTAGTTCCTACAATCATTTTAGAAAAAAGTCAATGACCTTGATTGTGACAAAGATTTAAAAAATTGGATTCCTGTACTACAAGAATTTAATTCTGCTTTCAAAGACATTATGACGACTCCAATTCCAGATTCTAATTGTAATGCATTTTCGCACTACAAGGAATTCAGTACCGATATTCAGAAGGCATATTCTTTGTTTTCAACTTTTAAAAAGGTAAATTGCATCAATTTTATTTTACACAAAAACTTGAACGAACTTTAATGTAAAAATCTTTTCAGACGTTAGTTATTGAGTCTCAAATAAAAAATGGACTTCTCATAGACAAATCAGTTAAAAGTAACAAGTGCATAAGTGAAGTATTACAAAACAGCCTTGTTTTGATTGAACAAGCTTATAACGCGTTGAATGATAAAATTTGTTAATTAATTTCGTATGTTATTTCTGTATTTTAAATATACTTTTANCTGAAAGTTGTTGGACATAAACCTGGTTATCATGAATTAAGAAAAGTTCTGTTGCAAAAAAACATTCACCCAATCACTTACGAAGGATGGCAAAAAATAGATGAAGAGGAGTGCAATAGAGGCAAAAAACTGGGAAAACCTAGAGAAAAAATTGTAGATATTTCTGAAATGTTAAAAATAGCCTCGAGTTAATGTTAATAAAAATTTCATATGTATATATATTGTCATTAAATTTTACTATCACCGGTTTTAATAAATTTTACTTTTTGATTACCTCCATTTCTATCTGCATTTTTATAGAATAGTAGTTTTCGTACCTGGTGGCGCATGTAGTTGGATGCGCACCAGGTATGAACCCTATTTTTTCTACCTCGGCGAGGTCACCCAACCCTCAAAGTAGTCCAAGGTAGGAACATAATTTTTATCCTTAAACATGAAAAAATAATTACTGACAGTGTTATCATTTCGAGCGTTTCAGCATTTTTTTTCTCGCACTAAAAGAAGGTATACTTAAAATTAAAGTTTGGTAAACTTTAATTCAAAAGATCAACTATTGTGCACATGGAGTGAAACATAGCGAAGCGTAACGGCAGCATTAAAAAAAACGTCTCAACTTTTTCTAAACTTATGATATTGTTTACATATATTCGTATAGTTGTATGAGTAACATGGTAGTTTTTTTTTTGGAAAATTACTTTAACACGTTCATTACCAAATACACACAATCAAGTGCTTGCCGCCAGCAAGCTTTGTCCTCATTGGCCACTGTCATGACGAATCCTCGCGAAAGCGGCGCTGCCTTCCCCCCCACCCCCCGTGGGAGAACCGGGAAGGAGAGAAAAAATGTCGGCGTGCGATAGGCGGGGGGACTTTTTTTTCTCTCTCTCTCTCTCTTTCAGAAATGATTTCTATATAGATGCTCCGCCCCCTATATAAGACCGCGGGGCCTAAGGCCCCATACATATACAGATATATATGTCCTCAAGTTTTCTTCAATTGTACTTGCAAAAGTACACTATTTGATCTTTTGAATTAAAGTTTACTCAACTTTGTTTAATTCCGAGTGTACGTACTAAGTATGTTTCAAATCCGTTCAATAATTGGTATATTAAGTATACACCTTTACGTACATAGATATAATAGCAAAGTTACACCTTAGAGCATAATATACTAAGCTCATGCTCTAAATAATGGTCTAAGAGTTTCTACGCGGAATCGATACTTTGCCACCAGTACTTTCATGAGCGTGTATAGATATAAGAATGTGATTGAATAAAGTTAATTTTAATAATCTTAAGTGTAAAAAAAGGCCTTAAAAATTGTTTATTCGAGTCAAGGTTTAAATGCAGTCAGTTGTCTGTCAAATATGTGTCTGCTATATATATAGGTATACCAAGCGGCAAACGCGCTGTAGCAAATAGCAAGCTCTATATATATATGCGTGTATACAATTACAAGGGCTTGTTGTTTTTTGTGTCAAGCATTTTTCTCTCCCATCGATTCTTTACGGCAAAATCAATTCGTTCCAGGTATACCTAGAGTCAATTAATCGGCAACTAATCGTTTTCGACGTTCGAAGCAGGTAATAAGCATAAATCATTGGTGCAAATAATGTACTAAAAAAAAGTTTTAAAAAGTTAAAAAAAAAAAAAAAAAAAAAAACAGCACACCACGAGACAAGACATGCTCAACTTTCACGTAAACAATAATTGTCATTAGTTGTACTTGACGCTATTTTGAAGAAAGATGCCGTTTGCATAAAAACGATGTCAAGTATGACGTATCTGCTGTGGAATTTAATTTAAGAGGAGCACAGAAACTGATTCATACGTCGCGACTTCAAGTTAACAACTTTTAAGCGTTTAACCATTTTTTTTCTCTCAAATCCTTGCTGGTCCAAGTAAAATAATGATGCGTGACTCAAGGACTTTAAAGGGTCTCTTTGCCGATCCTCGTAAGTTTTATTTAGTCATTCATGATCTATGATGTTTTTTAAATATTAGTTTTACCATATTGATTACATATATATAATGCACACTCTCATAATTGTCATTTCAGAGCCGCCATGCCGAAAAAATTTTATCAAAGAAAATGTTAAGAGTGTTCGTCAAATGGAAAAGCTGTTTCACTCTAATGACAATAATGTGAAAAATTTCAAATTTCAAGTTTCCAAGACAATCAAAATGCCAAATACACATATTTTTAATAAAAATCATAGTACAACAAGACACAGTGGTCTGTTAGATTCAAACATTGATGAAAATGATGGTGAATTGACAAAATTATTCAGTAAAAAGCTTTGTTTGGACAATCAAAATCATAGGAAAAGAAGTACATCTGGGCTGACAAACAAAAAAACTATGGTAAAGAAATTTGTAAGGCCATCTATTCACGGGGGTGTACTTCGAAAGAGTCAACATGGATATAAAGAACAAGCTGTGAATCACAAAACCGATGCTAAACAAAAGATCAAGTCTCAATCTATTGGAGATATTGTAAATCAAGGATCAAAGGAAGAGACTCACATCAGTGAAAATATCAACTGTAAAAGTCAAGGGGTTCAAACAGTAGACACAAATGACATCGAAAGTATTTACTCTGAGGGTATTATAAGGTAAAAATAAGAAAATGTGAATTTTTATTTTATCCTGTTGAGAACTTAAACGTTTATTTCTATTGTAAGATATCCATCCGGGAATGCAAAAAAAGCCGATAGTTGCCAATCAGATAGGGGTGATATGATTTCCGAAGAAAATGATTCACCTAAACAAGATTCGGATCATTTGACGCAACATAGCAGTCCAACTAGTAAAGGATCTGTTTCTGTTGCAAGTAGATTGGCATCTCAACTTAGTAAAACTGGTGCACCACCAGCGAGTTATCGCGTGGGAGTCGTTCCCAAGTATGTAAAATTTTCTAAACTCATCTGTGTCACACTTGCCAAAATAATACAATATCTTTGTGCACAGATACATCAAGGAAAGAAAAGAAGCTATGCAAAAGGAACAGTCAGCTAAAATTGCGGCCAAACAGTCCGATTGCCCAAAGGGTCACGTTTCTCTACCTGACAGCGAGAGAAAGGAGACATTGTGTATACTGAAAAAAAGTAAATACATTTACTTCTAATATAAGTTATTTTTTTAAAAGTGTTTCATAATGAAATTTGTTACAGATTATCAGGAATATGTTCACGAGCTCAATGGTCTGCCTATTAGAACAGATACTTTGAGATCACAGAGAAGAAAAATGGAAATAGAAAAGCAGTTGGCCAAGTTAGAAGATGCAATCAAAGTATTCTCACGACCAAAAGTTTTTGTTAAAGTTGATGCATAACTAGTAAACTCTATTTTTTATTATGGTTAAAAATCATTGTTATCACACTAAAAGCGAGAACTTTGACATTTAAGTCTCGCTAAAGCAATTAACTTGAATTTATCGATAGTTGATTTTTAGTATGAAATTATCTAGTCTATGCATTTAATTGTAAAACATGCGCAAAGTACAAATCAAAAATACACGTATTTTTCAAAAGTATAACGTTTATTGCTATAACAACAAAACCTTACCAGTTTAGCAATGTACACTTAAAAAAACAATTCACACATGACTTTTATTTACACTATGTACAAATAATTCCGGGTCGAAGATCAATTTTCCAGTTTGGAAAAATACCCTATCATTGTGATACCAATTTTCAATATTAAAATCCTTAAAAAATACTCCTATCTCTCTTACAGCTGATTCTTCAGAGTCTAAAATTGTATCAATTGTTAAATTATTGGTAGCATGTGAATTGAAGTACTGGTTTATCTGTACCTGATCCATGAGCTGCATTTCTTGTGTCAGAGAGTCCAAACATTCCTCTAATCGTATCAGGAGCTGTAAATTGAGCTTGATAAACTTTTGTAGGGCCCAACAATTGTCGCCATTTAATTACTGCATTGGATGAGGCCAAAATATGAACATCTGAAGGTCCACTGCACATAAATGTGAGGAGTCTGTTGTAAAAAAATTTTCCTTTATGCTCTCTATAAAAGTCTTCAGCTTCCTCGTTACTAATAGTCAACCGACGCGTTTTCACCACCTTGAATTCGTTGACCAGAATGATTTCTCTGATTTTCTATATTAAAAAAATAAGTGCAACATCAATGAAAATTTTATCCTTGGGAAGTATAAAAATATCCCGAGTTGTTGGTTTGTCCCTTAAATTAAATAAACGCATTAAGAGTTAAAACTACCAAATTAGCTTTTGTAAAATTAGATTAATTTATCTAATTTGACAGAGCAAAGGTTAGAAAATTACCTGCAATGCGATAGGAGATTTAATAATGTGAGGTTTAAGTATGGCAAGTGTCAATTGAAATGGATTTGATGATACCATTGTGACATCTGCGAATCGATCTGTCTTTTTACATTTTTAAAGCGCAAACACTCGTCACCGGCGACTTAAATTATTCATTTTTATACAAGAATTCAAAACATCGCTTCACACACAACTGAGGCATGAGCACGTAGTCGAGCGCGGAGCGCCGGAAGGCTGCGATATCTTATATGAGCAGTGATAGTCTCCGCGTGCTCATAAGTCGCGGATTCGAATAGTAAGTAGGTATGTATATGTGTTTTATCTTTTTTTTTTGTACCCTATATATTTTTTTACATGATAGATGAATGATGAAGTCTATACCGTTTTAGAAAAAAAAGCTTAAACACCAGTTGTCAAGGGAACTCATAAACATAAATTTAAACCTTTTTGTAAACCAAGTGTTAATGATACACTATAATTTGATACTTTAACACAAGAAAATTTTTTTTATGTAACGGTCGACAATGGTTTTATTGGGAGAAACGTTTCCAAATTTTATTGCAGAAACCAATATTGGTGAGATAGACTTTCATAAGTGGTTAGGAGATTCGTAAGTGTCATATAATATAGTTTTTATCAAAAAAATTTGAAAACTAGATTTTTACGTGAAATGGTAATCATTTTTTCAGTTGGGGAATCTTATTTTCTCATCCAAACGATTTCACTCCTGTTTGTACAACTGAACTGGCCAGAGTTGCAAAACTATTCCCAGACTTCCAAAGATCTGGGGTTAAAGTTATTGGAATTTCTTGTGATTCTGTTGAGTCTCATAGAAAATGGATTGAGGTAAAACATAAAGAATGCCAAAACATTAAAAACAAAATTTCATGAATTGCATGTGCACATATATGCGCATTTTTATGCAACGATTGCCATTGAAAAAGTGATTTATTTTCTAGGATATAAAAGCGTATGGAGAATTATCAGAGTGTGAGTTTCCATATCCAATTATTGCGGATAAATCTCGAAAGATAGCAGTCAGCCTGGGTATGCTTGATCCTGCAGAGCTTGACAGCAACGGACTACCAGTTGCTGCAAGGGCAGTTTTTATTATCGATCCTAAGAAAATCATGAGATTGTCAATTTTGTACCCAGCTACCACTGGACGAAATTTCGAGTAAATGTTTTTTTTTTCAACTCAGCCGTTTCGGAGCTGTTTAAAAACATTTTCATTAAGGATTTTCTAACTTACAGTGAAATACTGCGTGTCATTGAGTCTCTTCAGCTGACAGAAAAACATAAAGTAGCTACTCCAGCTGATTGGAAGGTAAATCATTCGAAAAAAAATACTAAAAACCCATATTATCCTTTCCTAATGTCAAAAACGGTCATTATGCCCGTTGATACGTAAATAAATGATATAAAAATTTATTTATTTACAGAAAGGTCAGCCTGTTATGGTGTTGCCAACTCTTTCCAATGAAGAAGCAAAAGCAACTTTTGGTGATACCATAAAAACAGTTTCTGTACCTTCAGGTAAATCTTATATCCGCATAGTTCCACAACCAACAAATGCTGAAAATAATTAAAAACAAAATTTTAACAAGTTAAATTGAAATGAGTACAAACAGTTACATTTAACAGGATTTAATCAACTTTTTATACATTGACAAATTTGAAGATGTAATTTTATATTTGAAATAAATTTTTCATTTAATAATAAACATACATTCGTTGATTTAAGTGAAATTCATGTCTACAAACAACAAAAGAAGCCGTTTATCATATCACCTAGTATATAATTAGAAGTACACTGCATTATATACATTTTTCCAAGTAGACGGTCTTATAATGATATCTAGGCGAATAGTATATAATATTTACATTTTCGTTTAACAAGTTATTACTAGTTTACGTTTTTTTTCCATTTCTTCATACTATGATTACACTATTATGCGTATAGTATTCAAGGTGTATAGTAGCAGTAGTTATATAAAACAGTCCCTGGTGAAAACCAATACGTTCAAAAAGATAATAAATTTAACAAAATTATATCTCATTAAGAATTAATTACCACACAAAATATATTACATCACAAAATACTATTGCCCACCTTTGTGTAGGATTTATCACGTATTTCTTTTACACAGTGTCATTGTATTTTCCACGTTTACTTATTCATTATCTTATTTTTTTCATTTTTCTATGTTTTTTTTTTTTTCTTTTCTTTCTTTATACAGTCAAGAGAACAAACANTATATATATATAATGCTCGGTGTATACTTGCAGTGAAATCCGAGCGAGGATGTGATGTTTACCTGTATATGTTTAGAGTATAATGAGTATATTTTATTGAGCACGCATCGGGAACTCTCTGCGTCTATGATGTTTTCGCGCAGTGGTATACATGCATACCGATTAGCAATGTTACCGAATACTTATTTATCTCGTTGAATGGGTGTGATACGCTGTACCTACATACAATATACACGTACGCGCAAAACCCACTTATCCCCTGGGCTCGAACAATTCGCGCTAATCTAATCTAATCTCAGCGTAAAAAATAATACACTTGGATATATAGGTGTACATGCGACCGCATACCAGAGAATAAAGAACGGAGCGCATGTGTTTTGCGTTGTGTATACTGATGTGTAAAAAATAACTTTTCAAATGTGTTAAGAGGTAAAAAAAAAAAAATAGGAAAGAAAAGAAAAAAAATGTAATCGTACCTTTTTGCCGTCGCGAAACTTGACGTTTCCCTCGATAATGCAACTGTTATCCACCATTGTGGGAGCCAATGATTTTTCGCTCGCGAACGACTCGTCGGCTTCCTTCTTCTCATAACTGATTGGTCATTCTTTCCTCGTGCAAACACTCGCGCGCATCCAAACGCGGAAAGGGCCCACCTTTGTTATTATTATTATTATTATTATTACGGGTACAAAAACCGTTGCTGCTGCTGAACCATCATCAGCCGTCCGTTCGTCCGTCCGCAGCACATTCCGCACACTGATCACGCACTCTCCCGCACTTCACGCTTTCCAGCTTTTGTTTAGATAACACTTGACCGCTGATGCAGCCTCCGCTCTTGATGCGATGCCGACACGATAATGCATTTACGTGCACGTATATATACACAGAAGCCCAAGTGCGCCAATCACTTTAGGTATGTGTGGTCTGTAGCAGTGATGGTGCAGTTACATGTATATATACAGTCCTGTACGCGAAAAGCTCGAAAACGCCGCGGCGTTCCCTCCACCGTGTGCTCCATTTCGCGACTCGATTTCCTTTTCTCCGGCGGCTTCTCCAACCGTACTCCACATTTAGCCCGTATACTGTTACGGGGAGTCGATTGAAAGCTGTTTCGGAGCAAAGCAGCGCAATTATACTTGTGGTCACGTATTTATATGTATATATATTATATTACCAGCGCCGCCAACAAGTACTTATACACTTACTCGAGTTGTACTGTATATTCGCGCGATAAGCGCTAAGTGGCGTATACTTGCCAAGGCAACTTTTGTAAAAGTCGAGGCAAGCCGAACGTGCCGAGCTCCGAGCGCAGACTGTAGCCTGCAGGGGATTTAAGAAAGAAGGAAGAGAAAGAGCGCGCGCGCACACAGTCAAACTCACACGTATACGTACTTATGTATCCCCATCCTGCAGGGCACAAATCACGCGCGCGCTAAAATCGAAAGCCCGGCGAGGTATAAAGATAGCTGTCGCATCCGCATAGGTGTGTACAATATGTATATATACATCTCGGGATTGTCGGGTGGTCCGCGCATATATCGAGTTCGGAGTTGTAGGTATATGTATATAGGATGTACTTATCTACTTGCTCTGGCTGTGTCGACCCGACCCCGACTGACTGCACCTTCGACACGGTCGGTGTGCCCCCCCCCCTTCGGGTCTCTCCCACCTTCTTCCGCGTCTGCCGCGTGCGCTTCACGGGGAGTCCGGGGTTCAGTGCCCCCTGCTCTCTCCGCTTCCCCGTTTTTCCACCCCACGAGCGCCCCTGCGTGTATATAATATATGCTTCCCTTTCTGCACCCACATATATATGGGTGGTGAGGGGCCGGTGGACTTGGATTCTGCGCTTTTCGCAACACTTTCAACAAGGGTGGTGTGTGCGCGGCATAAGGTCCCGGTGTCCCAGCGGCCCCATATATAGTATGTGTGGTGCTCTCTGATGATGCTCTCTCTCTCTCTCTCTACTCTGCAACGCCTATATATCAGCGGCCCCATATATAGTATGTGTGGTGCTCTCTGATGATGCTCTCTCTCTCTCTCTCTACTCTGCAACCCCCGTGCGATTACGTGTGTATATATGATTGCCGGCGGGCGCGTGGCCCCGGGGGCTGACGTCCTGCAGAGAATAAAACTATATGTATACAATACAGTGTATATGCAGAAGGGGTGGCGCGAGGCGCTGTGTGTGCTTAATATCTACGTGGGGCACGTATATAATACATAGAGATGTCACGATACATAAATATACTCTCTTCCTTAATTGTTGTATAAACTGGTGTAAATATTATTTATGATTTGGTTGGAGTAAAAAAAAAAACAAACTATTTTTGTCTTGGGAATTTGGTGCTTGGTGTACACAAGAAATAGAAAGCGGGGTGGACAGTGTATAAGTATACATGTAGGTATATAATAGTTTTAATAGAAACAATTTGGTCAATCAAGAATATCGATGCCTGAGTGTGTTTTATATTAATAAAAGAAACAACAACAACAACAATGTGTTTGTTAAAAGGATACGTGAAAAATATCTTACTTGGTTCTCAATAATCACAAAGGGAAGTAAACGCTTAAGAAACTGAGTTTCGTGCAAAATTCGGGCAATACCCGGTTACCAAATCGGTATTTAGAAGTATGTAGCGTGTACCTGTAGTAGGTACAACCTACATGAGTTTCGAGTTTTAAAAGACATTAAATATTCTTTTTCATAAATTGTGCGTTTGAAAAAAGTTATTATTCTCCCGAATAATTGACGGTTGAAGATATCCTACATGCGTGTCCAACATTTATTTTTTTGTACTTTCTTTGGATTCGTTTACGAAACTGTTGCTTATAAAGCAAACTTGATTTATATTTCATAATTTAAAAAATGTTTGAGCATGACAATAAAATGTCACATGTGCCGCGGTTCTAAGTAAGAAAGAAACGTATTTAAAAAAAAAACTACTATACACGTTTAATTTACTGAACAGAAATGAACAACTAAAATATATAGATAATATAACATCTTATACCTGCAGGCGTTAACGACCTTTCGTCGTGCAAACTTGTTTTGTATAATACGTTGATTAGATATTTTTATCCTGTGAAATAATTTAAATGTAATACCCTCTCTGAAAAGTTGGATGTTTTACTTTTGAACTTGGCGGCATTTTGGCCTCTCGAAGTTTGACAGTCGACTTCACGTGATAGGTCGACAATCGACAAGTGTATTTCTCTCAGACGTATTTTTAAAAAAGTAACCGAAAACACCAAAATCATATTTAAGTAGATTTGTTATAATTTCTCAAAAATGTAACTTTGTGTCATTTGTATACAATTGAAGTCTTATCTGACTGAACGTGATATAATCTCAACATTAATTTATATCTCAAGTAGTAAGTAGTAAATAAAATACATACGTTAATTAAATAAATTATCCTACTAAATCCAAAAGCTGACACACTAAATCCAATGTATTTTGAGAAATTTTTTAATTTTATAGTTTTAAAAATGTACCAGAATAACCTTACTTTAAAAAAAAATTCATTCAATACATTAATCTGCAGTGAATATCAACAAGGATGTTATTCATGATTTGTACAACACTTTGCTGAAACTACGGTATCCTGAAGTTGCTCAAACATCCATCGATGAATTTGAAAGTAATATTCTCACTGGTACTAAGAGACTAGATTTTCTATCTTGGGTACTTCAGGAAGGTTCAAGTAAAAATACGGAACTTCTCAGTAAATTTAAAGACAATTCTTTAAGCAGTAAGAATTTTGTTACCAAACTATACCTAATTTATGAATTTCTTCCTAATATTGACAATTGACAGTTTATTATTTCATTTCAGATAAACTTGTGAAATGCTTCACTCATATTGGACTGTGCACTGATGAAAATATTATATTAGTATGTAATGGTTTATTGAAGCAATACTTGATGCACTATCAAATAAATTTTTAAATAGTAAATCAGTTGTATCTAACTTTCAGGGGAAATGTGACATCAACAAACAAATACATTTTCTGTCTCTTTTGACTCTATTTATTAACAACGTTCATTTGCCGGATTCTCCATCTCCAACAAATCATTTAAATGCTAATAGTATTTCAGAAGTGGTACAAGTGAAAAATTATTAATTCAGTAGCATGTTTTTTACATTCTAGAATTATGATTAAAATGTATCTGTAAAATTTTTATAGATTGTCAATGAAGGGACAACGTTATCCAATCTACCAATCAATGTCACTTGTAGAAACAACATCGATGCGAGCTGGAATGAAGACAGATTTTCGGAGTTAACGAAAAATACAAACGTCAAGTTATGTTCTGACTTAAGTTTTATAGATGTGCTGTGTTTGAACATTAAGGTAAGCACATTGTTTGACTTAAAATAATTCGAGTATGTATAACCAGGGATTGAGTAATTAGTTCCTACAATCATTTTAGAAAAAAGTCAATGACCTTGATTGTGACAAAGATTTAAAAAATTGGATTCCTGTACTACAAGAATTTAATTCTGCTTTCAAAGACATTATGACGACTCCAATTCCAGATTCTAATTGTAATGCATTTTCGCACTACAAGGAATTCAGTACCGATATTCAGAAGGCATATTCTTTGTTTTCAACTTTTAAAAAGGTAAATTGCATCAATTTTATTTTACACAAAAACTTGAACGAACTTTAATGTAAAAATCTTTTCAGACGTTAGTTATTGAGTCTCAAATAAAAAATGGACTTCTCATAGACAAATCAGTTAAAAGTAACAAGTGCATAAGTGAAGTATTACAAAACAGCCTTGTTTTGATTGAACAAGCTTATAACGCGTTGAATGATAAAATTTGTTAATTAATTTCGTATGTTATTTCTGTATTTTAAATATACTTTTACATTTTTATATAAAAGATTTATNTTCATTATTATTTCATTATTTTTATGATTATTACTATCGTTACTATTACTATTATTATTTATCAAAGTCTCTCAAATCCTGTCTCGGTGGATCACTTTAAAAAAAAAAATGTTAGATCAGAGATTGTCACATTCGATGAGCGGATCAGTTTTACTCCAACGAAGCATGACTTTCCTGTTGCTCGGCTTGCTGCTGTTCGCCTTCCATCAGGCTCCGCGCTTGTCGCTCCGCAGCTGCTCTGGCTTGTCTGCCCGCGCTTGAGCGCAGGTTCTTTCTTTCCACAGGAGGTTCCAGGTTCAAGCGCTTGGCACCCCTTGACTTTTTGCTCTTTGGCCCCCCCTTATTGTCCTCGGTGGGCTCCGTTTCGCCGGCATTCGAGGCCTTACCCTGACCCTCACTGCCAGACTTGGAACCACTTGAGCTGCTGCCACTACTGGACAACTGCTGGGCCAAATGGCCGTGGACCTCCTCAATCGGCACTGACAGGGATGGTAGGGCACCGGGCTCGGTCATCTCTTTACTACCAGTAGAGAGGTTGAGCGTAGGACTGGGTGCGGGACTTGGTCGCTTCACAGGCGTCGAGGGCGCTGACGGGGTCGGGGACAGCACTGGCGATCTTGTAGCTGGTTGACTGGTCGTGGGCGACGGCACGATTAGCGGCGTCGGCGCTGCCGTTGATGTCGGCGTCGAGGCTGCACTCAAGCTTGGACTCGGCGTGGGAGTTGTCATAGACGACCTGATGCTTACATCCATGGCTTCGAATACCGGTTCTATGGTGGCAGCAATTTTTGGTGTGGCCGAGCGAGTAGGGTATGGAGGTGGATTGATGACCTCGCGGTGAGACGAGGGTGGCCTCGAGGGTGGTCTGGAGGGCGGTCGAGAAGGCGGTGGCGGCAAAAGCGCGCTCTCACGAATCGCGACAATACTAGCCGAATCGGTGTCTCGGTGCTCTTTCATCTCCAAGCGTGGCTTCTTCATTATTGGCTCGAGAGTTACTTCCAAAGACGAAGGTACGTGTGGCTCTCCATGTCTGTCTGGAGTGCGGACTCGTTTTGCCGAGACGTGCAGGCTATCGATATTTCTCGTAAACAGCTCCGCACTGGTCTTACTCAGATGCTCCAGGGCCTCCTTCATCTCTTGCTCTTTGGTCTTGCGCTCGATTCGTGCTGACAGATCTGCGATGTCGCCGAGCTCTATTGTTTCCATGATTGTTCTTTTCTCAGTTTCAGCTCGCTCGTGAGCGGCAGCGGCAGCGGCGGCGGCAGAGCTGGCCGCTGTTGAACGTCGTCGCTCCTCGGAGGCGGCTGCGGCAGCAGCAGCAAGCAAAGCCGGATCCGAATACTGCAGAGTGAAAGATGGATCCACCGAGGGATACCTCGACTTCTTATCCGACTCTTTGCGCTTCATGGCCTCAGCGACGTCCCTGCTGTGTCTGCTGGCACTAATCGAGGTGGAACCAGAAGACGAACCAGATTTGCGCGTCGAGGATGTCGTTCCGGCGCTCGAGGTTGGTGGATTTAGTAGGCCACATTGCGCCAAGCTCTCGTATGCCGACGAAACGCCGCCGGGCTGCATGGAGAATGGGTTAAGGGCGCCGAGGCCGAGTGGCGTGTAGAGCAGTCCAGGATTCGGGAAGAAAAAAGGAAAAGGCGTAGTCGTCGGTAAAGACGAGGATGTCGAAGTTGATGGCGCGGAGGATTTGCTAGTAGGAGGATCCATTTTCGTACGCGACTTGCTTGTACTAGAGGTGCTTGTTGTGTTTGAGTTGCGGGTACCAGCCGAGCTAACGACGTTCGTTTCCGCTTGACTCGTTGCCGTGGCACCTAAGGCCTCCATTCCGCTTAATGAGGGAAGACCCAATCCGGCGAGATTAGCAAAGAGCGAATTCGTGAGACTCATGTTACTGAGATTACCGAGATTGCCGAGGCCGCCGAGTGCACCCAAATTGGGCAGACCACCAAACGGCATCAGCAGTGGGTTATTCTTTGGATCAAAGTTGCCCAGTGACAAGCCCGACAAAAGGGAATTGTTGAGATTGCCCAGTCCAGGGAAATTTAGACCAGAAGCCATCGATGTCGCAGCCAGATTAGCTTGATTTACAGATTGTTGGTTGTTCGAACCCGACATCATGGGAGGCCTGCCAGGACTCTTTCCCTTATTATCTCTTCCTCTATCTTGTCCCGAAACCCTCTTTTGCTGCATCTCGTGAGGCAAATTACCTCTTTCTTTAACAAGATCCGCCCACTTTGGATCGACATCGAACATGGGATTTTCCATCAACCATTGCCCGAGCCGTTTGAGCTGTGGTGCTTTATTACTTCCCGTCACCTGTAATTGAACGAACATGATGTTTTTAAACTTGTTTTCTGAAAAAAAAAAAAAAAAAAAAAAAAAAAAAAAATAGTTATCAATAATGAATGAATTTTTACCTTTTTTCCGGTCATTCTATTTATCACAGGCACATTTTCTTCGCCGGTTAGTTTTTTCCAATCGAGCAAAGTTGGGTCGACTCGAGGTCTCCTTCTTCTTGGTGCATTGAGATATTCCGCACTGATTGGATCCGGCAAGGCTGTTTGTTCCGCCAGCCACTTATTGACTTTGGCTTCATGAGAGTAAGCACCAATTTTAGAGGAATATTCGGCAACTTTGTTTATTTCGGCAATCATCGATTCATAGCTCTTCCTATGGCTTGACGATGAAGCAGCGTGTGCCGCGTTATATGCGGCTTGTTGCTGTTGCTGTTGGTGATGTTGTTGCTGTTGTTGTTGCTGGTGGTGTTGTTGTTGTTGTTGTTGTTGTTGTTGTTGTTGCTGCTGCTGCTTTTTAACGAGTTCTCGGTTCTGCTGCTCAGCCTGAGCAAAGAGAGCAGAAAAGCTATCTTTGTGCGAGTGAAATGATGGTGGAGGTAGCTGACTGGATGAACTTCCGGATCGCGTTGATGGAATTGAAGTCACGGTAATCGAAAATGGTTTTTGCGAAGTTGATGGATTTGGTAGACCAATAGGTGCCGAAGTTGGAGTCACGGTTACGTTAGGAGTGATTGTACCCTTTTTGCTGTGCTCAGGATAATGTGTGCTTTGCTGTTCTTTTTCTCTTTGCAAGCCCTGTACGATCTCATCTAGTTTTCTTCTTTTCTTTTCTTTTCCAATGACAGGTTCTTCCACAGTCTTGTACATGATTAATTTTTAAAAATAATTAGATTTATATTTGATCTCATACATATTAGGAATTCAGAATGATTAAATTTCATTCAAGTGTACTTACAATATTTTTTCTTTTTACAAATTTATCCAACATGCTATCCAGTTTTCCTTTATTACTACTAATTTGTTTGGACTTGCTTGGCATAGAAAAGTCTTGAACTTCATTCATTATATCTTTATTGCTATGGTCAGTAAGTGGTTTGGAGGAATACCTAGATAATATAAAAAAAAAAAATTTATAACACCACAATTTAAATGTATGTAACGTTGCACAAAATGTTTTGTATAGGATTTCAAAGACATTTACCCAGATGATAAATCGATAGGTGTTAGGGTACTCGACGTGCCAGGAATCACAGTAGGTTTTCCAGGCACAGTAAATTGCAAGTCAAAGGGTATAGTTGCTACTCTCGTCTGTTGATGAGCTGGAGGTGGCTGGGAAGTTAGTGATCGTCTGGAATCTTCAGTTTGCGAGTCGTCAGTAGTATTGCTAGATAACATAGGCTTACTTAGTTGTGGGGGCGGTGGAGTCGACATGTGACTACTATTTAATAAAGCATGAAGCTTAGCTGAAATAAAAATATTACATACATGTATTACTAATGAAATTCCATTCATCATTATTTTATAAGCACAAATATAAAGTACCTCTGTCAGTTTCAACGTCAATGGCTATGTGTCTTTTGCGTTTCTTTAAAGCAGAAGAATTATTGTTACTGCTAACACTGGTGATGCTTATATTGTTACCAATGGAAGTAACGGGTATACTGTTACTGACATTACTAATGTTGCTAATAGTAATATTGCTACTAAGACTATTATGAAGACCTGTAGCAATAGGGCGTGGGATTCCGTGATCAGTGGTGATAGTAATAATTTCGGATGGTTCTTTTTCCATTACAGGCTCAATTTCATCACCAGCGGTGAAATTCACGGAAACGGGCCATTCTTTGTGTTCGATGGCGTGCACGATGTGCATCAAGCGAGCTTCAATGGCATGCTCCTTGGGCCACTTAACTAAAGACGGATAGTTGTGTGATAAAAGTTGAGCTACAGTGGGCTCATTACTATAATCCGTCCCTTTATCTCTTAATACAAATGTATCGATTTGCGTCAATCGCGATAACGGCTGAATAACTTCCAAATCTGGGAACATTGCTTTCAATTCAGCTGCTTGCATACTACATTTATCATCGATTTTAGACAAAGACAATTTCTCCTTAATGGGCTCGACAAGTTTTTCCTTTTCCCTTTCTTTTTGCTTTACATCCTCTTTTTCCTTCTCCCTTTCTAGCTCGACTATTTTCTCTTTTTCTTCATCCTTTGCCTTTTCCGTACTTCCATCACTATCTTTTTCCTTTACTTTGTCTTCCTCCATTTTTTCTTCTTTTTCTTCATTTGATACAGATGCTGTGATAGTGTCAGTAGTTTTTTTGTCGGTTCCATCCTCAGACGATTGCTTTTCTTCCATTGGACTTTCAACTTTTGGCTTATCTTTACTTTCATTCTCTTTATCTTCTTTTTCAACATCCTGAACAGTACTATCTTGTTCTTTCTTTTCATCGACTTTTTTCTCCTCTTCTTCAACTTCCATCACATCATCTTTTTTACTTATTCCTGAAATTTCTGGTTTTTCTGTTTCTTGTTCCGAAACATCTTTGTTCTCGGTATCTTTCGCTTGTTCAGAACTGCTCGTTGGAACATCAGATTTTTCTTCTTTCTCGTCAACTTTTTCCATAGTTTCATCTTTGTCTACCTTACTCTCATCCTTTTTGTCATCCAACGTTTTATTATTTTCATCAGTAACTTCAGATTTGTCTTTGTCAACAACATCCTCCTCTGTTTTTCTTTCTACTTTTTCTTCTATATTTTCTTCTTTGCTCTCTTCAGTAGGTTTTTGTTCCGCTTTGACTTCAAGTATTTCCTTTTCTGGAGTAACAGCTTTGGTCATCACAGTCGTGATGGTCAAGCCTCCGGCCGTGACGTGCTTCTCTTCAATTTTATTGTTACTTTCAGACTTAACAATAGTCAATTCCACTTGACTTTTGCCAACATCCGGTTTCTTATCTGCTTGAGCTGCGTCTTTTTTAATGCCTACTTTTTCTATTTTTAGCGTACCCTCACCTTTCTCTAATTTAACTAAAATTTCATCTTTATCGAACTTTAAAATATCCTCTCTATTTTCAATTTTAATAGCTTTTTCTATTTTGTCGAGATTTTTACTAAATTGACTATCAGCATAGATGTTTTTTCTTAACATCTTGTGAAACGAGAAATCAGGATCGTTTAGGATCGTAACATCCGTTCGACCAAGACCATGCTTGGCAGCTCCAAGTAAGAGTTCTTTGTCGTGCTTACCAGGTTGCCACCAATCTGGTGTATCACCCGATTGTTTACACAAGCAAAGCCGCTCTTCCAAATGGGGATGCGACAGTATCTCTTCTCGAATTTTGCTCAGTAAATCCACCCGATCCAAGATTTGTCGAGCCCTACCAGGACTCAAGAGGTCTATTGGGATGTCAGCTGAGCCTAAAAAAAATTTTAATATTTAGATTCATTAAAATATTTATACCGCATGGTTTTAGAACAGCAGAAATTTTATAAATGATCACCTTCTTCTTCGCTAATTTTAGCACTACACGCTTTTTTGCACATTGCTCTAAAGGACAAGTAATAGTCAGTGAGATCACTGTCGCTCTTTTTGTCAAATCTAGAAAGGCTCTTGAATTTTGTCCAATCGTACTGAGCCTTTTTGCGATCGTAGTTTACACCGTAAGTCGATACAACTCGTAGAAAGTCGCTTTCCTCGCGCTTTGTCCATTTTGCCTTTTGCTCTTCGATGCGCGTTCGTTCGCGATCTTTGACCATTTGATCCATTTTTTCTTTCCTCTCCATTTTCTGCCGAATAAAAATAAGTTATACGACATTGTCAAAAAAAAAAAAAAAAAAAAAAAATGAATTGCAAAAACCAACCAAGAGATACATGGCCAATTTTTGTAAGTCCCAACTTTGCATATTTAAGGGTGGCTCCATTGCAGTATTTGTGTTGACGGTGGCGGCAGTGGTGGTAGTGGCTGCAGACGAGGACGAGGACATATTGCACCCCTGGTTAACTATTTTTATTTCTTGATTGATCTTGGACATTTGGTTGTTTGGCATAATTTGTGTTTTAAAGTCATCCTTCTTATTGATGTTGCGCTGATACGAAGTGATGACACGTCTTAGGCGCGTGTTAAGGTCGTTCACTGAAGGCCAGGTCTTTTCGTCCTCCGTGATTATCTCCAAGCCATCATGACCACCACTGGCACCGGCATCCACCACAGTGGTGTCGGACTTGCTTGACACTGCCGGCGAGTTCACTCCTGTTTCTTTGCCTGTGGCCATTGATTCTCCCTCCTCGATTTCAGTAATTTCCATACCACTGTCATCCCTGGATACGAAAATGAAAAAAAATTCTCATGTTTAAAAGCGTGCAAGCTTGACTTGTACATAAATAATTCACTTCCAAATAGATCCGTTTCATAGTCGATACAAATCTTATATTATGAAACGAAACTATGTGCGATACAACTTACAATATGAAAACATGTATATTATCATTTTTCTAAGTAATAATAAAACTGTAAATGTAGAAGAAGTTGATAAGATAGTCCTGGAAAACCCTTAATTTTCTAGGTAACTAAAAGTTACAAGACTTTGATATATTCGTACGATGACCCGTTATGGAAACGCCGACTTGTTTAAAAAACTAGTATTAAATTTAATAGCCAAGCAAGTGAAACGTACCAAGTGGTAGACACAAAAGAGCATATTTATGTGGCTAAGCATTGTAAGTATTTCCTCTAGCTCTGTGTTAGTGTTAAAGACATACAGTCGTAAGGTTCACAGGCAAATTAGAGAACCAGCGATGTGTAACGTGTATTCAGCATGCGATTAGCAATATTATCGAAACAGCAGGTACAGAGCACTTAAAAAATTGGTAGAGTAAGGAGTGAGGGTGAAAGTGAAGACAAGAGAGAGAAAGAGAGAAACTAAGAATAAAGGAGGAGTAAATGCTTAACAAAACTGAAGAAAATCTGTACTCACTTTGGCTTTTCGGTCGGGGGAGGGAGAGGACAAGTTGCAATGAATGAGAGCGTGGGGTCGCTCCTCATCTGGTCGAAATTCTCATAGCCATGCTTGAAGCAGCCCACGACTAATGACTTGTCAGACGTCGAATCCCACCACTTCACTGGCTTCTCTGGTAATTGTGGCAGGCTTAGCCGCAACGCACTGTGGGGCGGTTTTATTTACAATTTGCCAATTCACACATTTACTTTGAACAAGATTTTTTTCTTTTGCGAAAAAAATTCTTGATTTTTCAAGTTGAAGAAAATTTTGATGAGATATTGTAAAACTGTACTTGGTAATATCAAAAGTTTACTTGTTTGATTGGAAAAAAAATTGTACATATCAAGGAAAGTCAAATGATTTTTTTTTTTTTTTTTTTTTTTTTTTTTTTTTTTCAATCATCAAGTACTAGTAGATATTCCCAAGCGAAAATATTATAACTCTTGCCCTCTTGACACAGTGCACTGCTGGATTTTCTTTCTTACCGTGTCACGCTGACAGCGCCGACTCGATTCGATTCCGGCTTGTGGCCTTACTTTAATTCTTAGATTTGAGTGTAAAATATATGTCTATATGCATATGATAAATTAAGGATGAACTAAATTTATTAGTAGCCAGTAAATCAGCGACGCTTTGCAGCTATAAGGGTAAACATAGGTTTTGACTTTTTATGAACATTCATTGTATACAGAAACAAGTCCCAGGGTGAATAAATACATTGCACATGCAACTGTATAAGCGCTGTGTAAGCACGTATGTGAGTGCACGATGTTTTTTGATGAACTGATTTAAAAGGAAAAAAAGACAACGACTAGCAATAAAAAAAAAATTCACTGACCTCACGTGAACACCGTCGTTGATATGCTGAACTAAATCTCCGATGATTTCGTGCTTTATGTAATAAAGCATACGAACTCGAAGTAATACTCTGAAATAATTTTTTTCTCTCATTAAAAAAATAAACAAGCAGCAAGTTTCAATATTTAAGAGTGAAAATTTATTTCATGTAACGAACTTGTTGGCATGACGACCAAGGTGCTTTTTATAGGTGCTTTCCAAAAAAATATCTCCATCATATTTCTCAGCGTTGCTCCAGTGATTGGGATCAATTGAACCATTGTTATTCATTATCGAGGTATTGTTAGCCGAACCTCTCGTCTCTCTGACTCTACTGTTTTTTTTCTTTTGCTTATTGTTTTTGTTTCCATTACCAACCTGGTTTAGCGGTATGGTCTTAATCTTTTCTCCGTTTTCAATAGGCGTTATCAGATCCCAGATGAAATTGCGAATCTTTTCATCGCCTCGATAAAAACGTAAGCAATATATTATTATAACTCGAGCACAGTCTTCGATATCAGACTCGCGCCATCCTTTTCTGAGTTGAGCGTGCATCAGTATTTCCTCCCAACGGCCCCATCCAAAAGTTAAAAGTCCTCGTTCTACTTTGAAGCATTCGCTACGTGCCCAGTTGCCATAAACCACTTCTCCTTCTCGAGGTATGTATTCGTCGCCAAACTTGCGTGATTTCTTTCCAAATTTATCTCTACTCCTTTTTTTGCCTACATGAATCAAATACGTTTTTAAGAATTTGCAATACATTTTTGGACCACAACTCATTAGTCTTTATGGTTTTTTTTTTTTTATAATTTCAACAAATTTATGACTTTTTGAACGCTACATTTCAAATCTGATATTTTTACAATGGAAATGAATGATGTGAGATGAAATGGTAGTAGGTCGACATAATCTTGTTTCCATCCATCAAACGTCTCTATTCAAAAAATATCTAACAAGAGACCGATGAGATACAATTTTTCTTTTTTTCTTTTTTTTTTTTTTTTTATTGAAATGGAAAAACTAATGAATTCGAGAGTGAAATAGTAAAAAAAAAAAAAAAAAAAAAAATTATGAAGGCAGGTAATATAAACATACCTCTACCTGATAAATTGCCGCCCAATTCGTCGTCACTTTCATCAGAACTATCCAATTCTGACATGTCTACAACAGATTCATCGTGACCATAACGTTTAATTTGAGTTCTTCTTCTGGGTTCCGAGATAACCAAATCCTCTTCTTCTTTTTTCTCGGTAGTGTCAATTTCGGCTTTCTTCGCCCACTTCTTCCAAAAATCTGGATCATCAATATTAATGTCAGATCTATTTGATGAACACGCAAAACTAGCTTTTGAAAAAGTGGATCCTTTTTCTGCTTCAATTGTTATGATCTAGAATTACATTCGTTAAATAAAAAAGTTGTAAAGTTGTAAGATTACTTATCATTGTTAATGATGAAAAATGATATTTTCAGTAAAAACTTTAAACCTACAGAACTTGAGTAACTGAATGCATATTTATAAATATTACATACTTGTGTTCTTCTCGACAGAATTACATCGATATCCTCTTCACAGAATTTATCGCCAGCGTTATCATCATCCATGATCGCACCATAAGCTCCTTTTTTCAACAAGTCCTCAATTTCTTTTTTAGTTAACTGTCTGTTATTTGGATCTTTGCCGCCTTGACTGGTGTTCATTGATTGTAATATAGCCTTATCCAAGCCAAGTTTCAAAGAAGCTTTGTCAAACATTTCTTTTTCATACGTGTTACGACATAACAATCTGTACACTTTAACCATTTTTTGCTGTCCAATTCTGTGACATCGGGCTTGAGCCTATTGTTAAATGAACAGGGTTAAAACGATGTAAATTTTAAAGATTACCAACATTGGCATCATTTTGCGGTGTTAACTTACTTGTAGATCATTTTGAGGATTCCAGTCACTGTCATAAATAATGACAGTATCAGCTGCCGTTAGATTGATTCCCAAACCACCAGCCTTTGTACACAATAAAAACACAAATCTATCAGAATCTGGTTTACTATACCGATCGATGGCAGCTTGTCTTAAATTTCCACGAATCCTTCCGTCAATTCTTTCATATGGATATCTAAAATTGGAAATAAAATTTGAATATTAATCATAAGTCGAAATAAAAAGAGAGGAATAAAAATTGGCTCATCAATATTTACTTTTTATAAACTAAATAATCTTCGAGAAGATCCAAACATCGAACCATTTGACTGAAAACCAGAACCCTATGGCCGCTAGATTTTAATTTTGGCAAGAGTTTGTCCATCAGTACCATTTTGCCTGAGCTATTGACCAAAGCTTGATAGTAGGCTTCGGAATCTTCTTTTTCATGTTTATAATCAAGCTGAATTTGATCTTCTGCTCCGTTAAGTAAGAACGGATGAATGCAACATTTACGCAACTCCATCATGGTATTCATTAAATTAGGAATGTTGGCAGAAGTTGTGCCCTTGGCAAGAAACGAGAAATTTCTCTCCAAAATACCACGATAGTATTTTTTTTGAATATTCGTCAGTTCAACCTCGACAACTGTCTCCTCTTTTGGAGCAAGCGATTTTTCTACATCTTCTTTTAACCTTCGCAACATCATTGGCTTCAAAAGAACTTGTAATTTGTGCACTTCGTCTTCGCTACTTAAATTACCAAATTCTTTAAGGAATGCTTCGCTACTGGAGAACTGATTAGGTTCAAGGAAATTCAACAGGGAAAACAGTTCATTGACATTGTTTTGCAACGGGGTGCCAGATAGAAGAACTCGATGTTCCAAATTCAATTGTCTAAGACCTTCGAGTAATTTGCAATTTCTGTTTTTCAATCTATGAGCTTCATCAATGACGCATAATCTCCAGTTGTAGCCTTTTAATTCGTTAAAATCGGTTATAATGATTTCAAAGGTCGTTATAAGAACATTGAATTTTATAAGGTCTTTGATCTGTTGACCCTTTTCATTTTTGTAATACACCTCGTACTCAGAAAGCATTGTTCGACTAGCGGCTGATCCATGATAAACAATAACATTCATGTCAGTCCAACCTTCGAACTCTCGTTGCCAGTTCGGGATCGTCGATAGTGGCGCAATAATTAAAAATGGTCCTCGAATTCCGTACTTGTAAACTTCGTTTACAAATGTCAAAGATTGTATGGTTTTTCCCAAACCCATTTCATCCGCTAAAATGCAATTGTGTCCGTTATACCAAGAAAAAAGAAGCCAATTCAAGCCTTCCAACTGATACGGCCTTAAAGTGTTGCCTGCCTTGTAAGCAGGAGATTCTTCTAGCTTGACCCACTGTGATGCGGCTGGCTTCTTTTTCGGCTTCCACTGATCTTTCGGAGGAACTTTATTGAACTTATGAAACTGTGCTATCTTTTCTGGATCAACATCTTCCTCTAATTCCCACGTGGAATCTTCGTATTGCAAAGCTCGCCACTTTACCAAAAAGTGCCTGACAGTTTCGCCAGTTGTCGGATCAGTATGCTCAGCCTCATCGAGTACCCTATCAACTTCAACAAAGTCTGGATTAAACGGATCGTCCTCCGTATTTTCAAATATATTCGTGTTTTGCTGCATTTTTTGCTTAAATCTTTTTAGTTTTGCCTGTATTCTCTTGTCACCTTTGTACAATTCTTCTTCGGTTTTCCATTCACAGTGTAAGTACGAAAAATTTCGGTATTTAACAAAGTATTCCTCAACTTCAATCATTTGGGGCTTAACGTCCGAAGAAACTGTCGAGTCTACTTTAGCAACTTCAAGGGTGACTTTTTCATCGGATTTTTTATCGTCATCTTCATGATCATCATTATCATGGCTTGTCTTTTTATCATTTTCATCATTATTACTAACGGTATCACCTTCGGTCTCACCAGATTTTTCAATATCGCCACCACCATCAACACTAACAACAACGCCGTTATCAACATTAGCATCGTCATCTTTTACCTGTGGATCAATCGTATCAGATATTTCTTTGTCTTCATTTTCTTTCGTTACTTCTTTTTCTTTTTCTTCTTGGTCAATTTCTTCTTTTACTTCTGCTTTTTCTTCTTCCTCTTTGACATCATTTTCCACATTTTCTTTTGTTTCTTCCTTCTTTTCTTCTGTATCAGGCTCAGTCTCATCTTTGACGACACTAGTTTCCTTGTCTTTTTCCTCACTATCTTTTTCCTCGCTATCTTTATCTTTTTCAGGCTTGGTTTCTCCTTCATCAGTCTTCTCTGGTTCTGGTTTGATTTCTGATGCTGGTTGAGGCTTAAGTTCTCTTTTACCCATACGCGAGCATAGAATAAACTGAACAACCATCGAATCTTCGTCGGTAGTGTTCTGTGAACAAAAGAAATTATTAGCTGAAATTCAAGCACGTCTGTAAATATTTTAAATACATCATTTTTGGTAGATGAATACTTACAATATATACAAAGTTTGGCTTATTCGGCCCAATGTCACCGCCTTCGGGTTTTTTATCAGATGAAGTTTTAGTGGCACCACTACCGTCAGTCTTATTATTTTGCGAATCTTGATTAGGTAGTTCATCGTCAGAAAACCGAAGCATCACATCGTCGACGTACTTTTTACGATGCGTATTTCTTGCTGATCTTCTCTTGTTATCGTCAGCCTCGGGCGAAGGGGGAGGAGTGGCTGCCAATTCTTCACCATCGGAATCCGGCGCTATACGGCTTTTTCGCTTCCTAAAAAAAAAGTTACCATTATATTCTGCTCACCCTGTAACAGTCAAATAATTATAATAAGTAAAACCGAGGCAAACTTACTTCGAGCTTCTGGGAGATTTCGAGGAAGAACTTTTACTAGGCCTTTTACGACTTGGGGTTTTCTTCTTCGCAGCTACCGGAGTATCGGTTACTTGACCGTCCTGTTCATCCTTTTTCTCTTCGTCCCCAATAGTTTTTTCAGACTCGGACTTTTCGTCACTTTGTTTCGACTCTGTCTCTATGGGTTCAACTGTTGACGAATCGACTTGCTCATTGTCATCTTCAGCAGGGACAGAACTTGGCTTTGCTTCGGAGTCTTTGACGCCCATCGAGTCGGACGACGCAACTTCTTCATTCACAGATTTTGACTCTTCGTCTCCGGATTCCGACTTTAGCTTCTTTTTACTACCATTTTTGGATGCTGATCCTTTGCTGTCCTTCTTTTTCTTCGGCTTTGACTCTTTTGGCGTTTTAGGTTCCTTGGGTGCCTTCAACTCCTTTTCCTTCTTAACTTTTGGTTCTTTCGGCTCCTTGGGTTCCTTCGGTTTTCGCGGTTTTCTCGGTGGTCTTGCTTTCTTGCTCTTTGTGGCCCACTCTTCCTCCACGTCACCACCGGACGAAGGTTTCATGTCCTCGGCCGAGTCAGCTGCACTATCAACAATGTTACTGCTGTCCACAGGAGTGACTAGATTTTCCGACATGGTCTGCTCAGGCTGAGCCATCGGCTCGACAACAGTTGGCGCTTCGGCTTCCTTGTCAGCCTTTTTTCTGCTCTTCTTGGATCTGGAGCTACCTTTACTGCGACCCCTACCAGTTGTACTGGACACTTGTGGACTGTCCACGACGGCGGGTGCCGTGAAAAGCGGCGATTGCAATATGCATTGCGAGCCTCCGTTGCACTGATCGTTCGCCTCGTGTTGCTGCAGAGCTTGGAGCTTCTCTTGTAGATTGACGATTTTCTCTTGAGTTTCCGGTGCCGGTGGCATGCAGTAAAGCTCCTGCAGCTGCTGTTGCAGAGCAGCTCTCTCTTGGTGATGGCTAACCGGAGCCAAGAGATTCGGAGCGAATCCAGGGGCAATGGAAGTCGGTATACTCGTAGGCGTCATATAATCTATGTTGGTTATTCCCGTGCTGTTGACCACAGCATTGGTATCGCTTGGCGGAAGATAGGGTTGCGGTGGCAATTGCTGCGACCCGATCACGTCTTTTGCATACACGCCATTCGTCTTCGGAATGTTCGTGTACTCTCCAAAAGCCGGCTGTTGCCCGGATATATAGTTGTCCGGGTGCATAGGTACTTGCGAGCTCGGCACGGTTGCGGGAAGCACGTTCGGCGCTTGACCAATCACAGGAGCCACGGGTACTTGTTGCTGCGGCGTTGGTGGCTGTAGCGCGCCAGCTACATTACTTGCCGGTGGCTGAGCCAGACCCGTCTGACTCATTGGCATCGGAGCCGCAACTTGATTTTGCACTTGGGCCGACTGCATGAGCATCTGACTTTGCACTTGGGTCGACTGATCGGGAACTTGGTTGTGCAAATGGGTTGACTGATCGGGCATTTGACTCGGCTGAACCTGCATCGACTGATCGGGTGGCTCATCCGACGACTGAACCTGCGACGATTGGTTTGGACTTAGGCTTTGCACCGGCGTCAATTGGTTCAACGCTGGTGTCGGAAGTTGCGCGACTTGGTTTGTCATTTGGCTCGATGGCAACATTTGCGTCGACTGATCCGGTGTCGGGCATTGGCTAGGCGCGTGCTGCAAAGGAGGAGTCGTCGGAGCATTGCTTTGCGACAACACATTGACTTGCTGTGTTTGCGACATGTGTGATTGCTGCTGCAAGGCAGGCTGCGCCTGTGCTTGTCCTAATACTGAAGTTTGGGGTTGAGTCACTTGACACTGACTGACCACAGGCTGTGCAGATTGTTGCGGGAGAGCAGAAGATATTTGCTCCGAATTACTGACCACTTCGGAAGCTGTAGACACCATCGGTTGATGCTGCTGCTGCTGTTGAGGCTGTGTGATATCAGCAACCACCGAGGCAGCTTGATTAACTTGAATTTGATTGATCGATGAATCCATGGACATTTGAGACTGACCAGCATTCGTTTGCAATACCGGTGATTGAGAGCACACAAGCGACTGCGACTGACTCACCAAAGATTGCTGAGATATTTGAGGAGTCGAGCAAATCGAATCCTGAGACTGAATTGCCGAACTTATTTCCGACGTCTGTTGATCAGTTACGTGCGACTCAGCTATCTTGTTTTCTACGCTGGGAACCGCGTTTTGCACAGGCATCGAACTAATGATTGGTGGTTGTTGCTGCTGTAACAACAGTGATTCGTTACTGCACTGAATACTATTACTCGCATTAGTCGGAGGAATTGGTTGCACAGGCTCCATGGGCAAAGGATTTACGATCGATTGTTCAATCGGAGTATTATTGATCTGAGGACTACTATGCAGTGGACTTTCACAGTGTTGCTGTTGACTCAATAAATCTTGGCCACTCATAGCTTGGTTGGCTTGACTTGGTGTTTGTTGATGAGATTGCTGATGTGGTTGGTGCAATTGCGGGTGTTGCTGTTGCGGCATTTGATGCGGTTGCTGGTGATGATGGAGCTGCTGCTGTGGATGGTACTGCGGTGAAAGCTGTTGGTGCTGTTGACGTTGCTGGTGAGGCATTGGATGGTCGGGCATGCCACTTTCCGGCATGGGGGATTGATGTGGAAGGGAGTGCACTGAACTTGGCACCATGTCTGTTGGTTCTCGCGTTGTGGCTTCCACTACACTGTGAATACTTTCGCTTCCGTTCATAGGATACAGGGATGAACTTTGTTCGGACACGACTGGTAGTGGTGGTGGCTGCTGCTGTTGATGAGGCTCCATTAAGCTTCGGCCATCATTTAGATTCATCGTCGACCTAATTTGTGGCGGCTGAGGCTGCGATTGTGGTTGAGGCTGGTGTTGGGCTGGTGGCCACTGCGATGGCATCGGCATACGAGGTCCTGTCATTCCTGGTCCCATGGGAGTTTGTGCAGTCGACTGCGGTAAGATATTCGGCGCATGAGGTAAAGGTGGCCGAGACTGATACTGACCGTAGTCTTGCGTAGGTATATTCGAGTTTGAGACCGAGACTCCTGGTATAACCATTTGTTCAAGCGCCTGTAGCGTCGTTTGTTGCGTGGTAGCAGCAGAACTCATAGGCATCGATGTCGGTGGGCACGGAGATACCGATACCGGTTGAGATTGTTGCTGCTGTTGATGGGGGTGTTGCACGTGTCCGTGCGGCGATAGTGTGCTGGGTTTGGCTGGGGACATTATTGGCCTGAAACCAATGACAGAACCAATAAGATAATTTGCTCTCTTTTTTTCTTGCTTAATAACAGTTAACAACTAAACAAATTACCTTGGCGACATTTGCTGCTGAACAGCTGGTGGCCTAGGGGACATCTGAGGTCTAGGAGACATTTGTGGAGACAGCTGAGGGAAAGATGCCTTGTACTGCGGACTCGTGGCATGTTTCGTAGCACCGTACTGCGGAGTCGGTCCAGGATGCTGTGGCTGATTGAACATTTGCGAGGAACGATGAGGATACTGTGGATCCATAGGCTGCGGCTGCTGTGGCTGTGGCTGCTGCTGGGACACAGGGTGCTGAGGATGCTGCGTATGTTGACCCTGAAATTTACAATGAAAAAGTAATAACAGGGAAAATACAGTGAAAAAGGGAGGAGAGAGAGAGAGAGAGAGAAAGAGCAAAAAAAGTCATACCAAAGTCTGATACTGCTGATGCGAGGGATGAGTCTGATGAGTCGAGTGGGACGGATGATGATGAGACATGCGCTGAGACTGTTGCTGTTGCTGCTGCTGTTGGGATGGCTGAGGCTGCTGGTGTATAGAGGGTCCAAAGCCGAGGTAACCAGAGGAGCCCCCATACATCGAAGCAGCACTGTTCTGCTGATAATGCGGCTGCTGCTGTTGGCCCAGCATTTGCTGATAACTGCCACCACTGGAGCCCGACTGCAGAGGCTGGTGTGGCACCCCCATGCCACCCATGATGCCTTGTTGCGCTGAGTAGTGCTGCTGCTGCTGCTGCATTTTCTGTTGCTGCTGCTGCTGCTGCTGCTGCTGCTGTTGAGACATGCCCGGCTGCTCCTGCTGGTGGCCGTATTGAGGCATGTGCTGACGGTAGCTACCGGGCTGTGGTATCATCTGATTGTAATGCCTCTGCATTTGGGGGTAAGCGCCGGCTTGGCCCGGCCAGGCACCCATGCTCGGATCCATACCGAGACTCGAGCGCGCCATCGGGTGCTGCTGCTCCATCGAATACATACTGTCCGAGTAGCTGGGATACTGAGTTGGCTGACCCGGATGTCCGGGACCCCTCTGTTGTTGGCCAGCTCCCGGCTGGCCGAGGCCTCGATTCTGGGCCGGAAAGCCCTGAGGCCCCGGTACCACCATGCCACGCTGCTGAGGCCCGGGGCCCGGCTCGAACGGGCCCAAATTTTGATTAAACATGCCGCGCTGCTGCTGTTGCTGCTGCTGTGATGACGAGGACGCTGCCGCCGCCGCTGGAATCTGTAGGGGATTAGCTCCTTGGGGATGAAATTCGGGTCCACCAAAGGAGGTTAATTTCTGCAGGGGGGATTCCTGGTTAATGCCGTACGACTGGTTAATGCCGTAATTGCCTCCGGCATTGGGTCCAGGGACGTTGGGGGCATCTCTCGAGCCTACGACAACGGAATTGGCTGCTGCGGCAGGGTCGAAGTGATCATTGGGCCCAAGGTCGGGAAGAGCGTCGAGCATCGATCCACTGACATCTTCGCCGAATAGGTCGTACGAGTCCATGTCTTTACGCTGCAGCACGACTCTGCTTCTTCGCCTCCTTGTCGGGCTGCTGCTGTTGCTGCTTTTGCTGCTGCTTGGGACAGTATCCAATGGTTATTGTCTCCGGGGCCGCTGGCGTTTCCATCATTGCTACTTCTTTGCCTCGTCTGAAACAACAAATCCATGTTTCGCTCTTAGTTTCTCTCTTTTATTTTATTTTATTTTTTTCCTTTTTTATAAACTAACTAATCACACAAGTGTTATAAGCTCATATCCCCCATGCACCCTTCTTAAAGCACTACATAATGTATTATGACATCTAGCTTCATATTGTATCGGTTTGACAGTGCCAAATGTGCCGATCATTGGTCACGCGTGTCTTTTATTATGCGAGCAACAATCGTATACAATGTGCATGTAAAAAACGTACAATTACAGGGTGGCCAACAATTCTCGATGTGCGTCGATTAACGTCCGGCACCAAAGGGGAAAAGCTATACGCTTATGGCTAAATTTTTCATAACCGCTACAACTTCTCCCCTCCGGGACCAGCCACATACTCTTGACCTTCCTCTCTCTCTCTCTCTCTCGCTCGCTCGCTCGCTCTTCTCTGTGAGTTCTCTCCTCGCCAAGGCTGCTGCTGAAAGTATATAGTTATACGGCTAGGAAAAAAAAAAAAAAAAAGAGTTTTCTCTCTTAAAAATAGACTCCCGAAACACACTCACGATGCTCTACTCCCGTGTTACTGGTACATATATCCTCACTCGCATACCTTGTAATATATTTATAACATAAGTATAAGTACCTGTATACTATGATGTATAACAATGTGTACGGGTACAGACTGGTAAGGTATACAATATTTTATTATGGCGTGAAAAGTATATAGCATATGCAGCAAGCGCGAGAGAGAATTAATAGCATAGCCACGCGACGACTACGACCGAGTTCAATCACCTGTTCTTTTTATAACCGCGAGTGAGTTCCATCGCGGTATTGGGTATACCCACAGCCGGCTAAAACTTTCAGACACGGTCAATTTCGGAGCAAGTGTACATTAATAATACTATACTCGTATAGCGTTCTGTCGTCAAGAGTATGCATATTTAATGTGCACTTTTTTTTTTTTAAATGTCATGGATTTTCATACGAATATTATACCACATCAGCTAAACGATGACTGTATGTCACAAAAAAGTATATAAGCGGAACTTTTGCACACAATAACTATACACTCGTCATCAAATTGTTTGATAAAAGTTGGACGTTGTACATATTGACCAATTGTACATACAACCAAAGGAAAGTTTAAACGACGCGTTTTTGTCAAATTTTTGCGAAACATCGGAGCACAAAGCGTCGATATACCTGTCCCTTAGAAGGAGCTCAACACACCGTGGCTGGTGTGCGAGATTATTATAAGTACAGTGGTACGTGATGTGCGCTGTGCTCCAAAAATCAATCAACGTCTCCTGATGTGTGCGGATGACGCGGCACACATGGATTATGAATGTACATGTATACAAACTCACGCCCACACACTCAAACCGACTCGTACATCGGGAGAGACTTGCCGAATATAAATAATTCAAACTCAATTCCCGGAGATACACACTCAGCTGCGACTGTACACATGACGCGCTACTCACAATCTCACGTGAACAGCTACAGGTACAATACATAAAAATAAGAGTATTTTAACCGCGAGTTGTGCTTGCATAGTGTTTAGAGTCGTAAGTACCTACTTTTGCACTGCCGTTCTGAACACGTCTATCTGTGTATATTTTGGGGGATGATAAGTTATAGCGACAACAACGACACAATGTAATTTTAATGTAATACGTACACACGCATAATATCATATATATGGCATCGACTCGTGTATATTATAATATCGTACGCGTATGCGCGTGACATGTATATAATATACAACATGGGCATACTGTGGGCAAATGGGCAGATGGTAAAAAAAAAAAAAAGAAAAAAGGAAGGAAAGAGAGAGAGAGAGAGTGAGAGAGTCGCGCGCGACAGCAACACCAGCGGATAGAACTAGCCTCTGCTGGCGCGGTCGTGGCGTTTGGAAAATCGATTAACCGAAGAAGGAGGTGGAGGAGGTGGTGGAGGGAGAAGTATATAATATAAAGGACCATCAGAGCCCGGGAGTCTCTCTGTGGCGTGTATATGCAAGACCGTGTACCTACATGGATGTATATGTATATATGCTGTACGCGTCGGACGAGACTCGCTCAGAAATGACGAAAATTCATTGCGCGCGCGTGTCCATCACGTCCAGTACCTAAGGTTGTCGTTGTCGTCGCACTCTTTTCGTGCATATATAAATATGTATACACATACGAAATTTTACACCTAAATTGGCATTTTATATAAGTATATGATGACATAAGTATATGATGGCACGAATTTCAAAGTCCAATGAACGCCTAGCGCTATTATGAACTATATGAACGAATGACGAGAGAGATAACGAGATAAGCATCACTTACAGGTACCCCTGTACATAGTAGACCGGCAAACACTTTTACCAAAAAAAATACAACTTTTTCAACCTCCACCGTGATCCTTGTTGTTGCCTCTCGCAAGTCACACTTGCATTATATAGATAAATAACACCAAAACTGTTGTACACTAGCACGACATTTAACTCTGGTCTATTGCTTACACTGGGGTTGTTGTTGTTGTTGTTGCCGTTGCCACTATTCATTCTCCCGGGGGGATGTTGTCCGGATCATCAGACGACACTTATGGTGCGGAGCAGACCACGCAGCGTTGGTCACAACAAGAGCAGCCGGTCGCGCCGGCTGTTGTTTCGGAGCTGCTGCTGGCCATACACGCATAATTTTGCACATGTATGGCATAATATGTATACATGAAAAGCCGGCTTCGCAAAGTATAAACTTTATGCGTTCGCGCGTGTGTTTGGGGGTGTATTACATAAGTGTGGGTACAAGGACCAAGTCAGCCCAAGTGCACGGAGCTGCCCCTATATACCTATAATACGCGCCATCATATCCGCGGCCACGGCGGCACACACTAACTGTATATACAGGTCCTCGGTGGTGCCGTGTTCACGGTGGCGTCACTTTTCACGTCGCGCGTAAGAAAACGAGAAGACGCGTCTATACACAGCCATGCACACACTCTGGTTGAAGGCGTCAATAATTCAGCCCCACGAAGATCAACTCGCGAATTCAGTGAAGGTCGCTCGTGTTGCTCGTTCCTTTTCTTTAAAAAATTGTGCATCGGAGTGTGCGTGCGAGCGTGCGTGCGCCGATTTTTCGGAGCACTCCGAATCAAGAAGGTGTATTGTACGTGCACGTAAAATACCGAGGGGTCGGCGTGCCGTTGTTGTTGATAATCGCCGATGCCAAATGCAAATTTAATGCCCCCATGGTCCCCACCACCTCTCCTCTTTATTTGAACTGTATAAGACAACTATCGCGGATGCGTATATACATATACACCAAAGCAGCCGTCGTCGTCAACGCCGTCCAAGCCGTGTACGGTGGCTCTCTCTCTATCCGCGACTCCATTGCTCCGCTCCCTCCGCCACACGCACACACAGCTGCCGGAGATGAGGCTGTCCTTGTTTGATGCTCTCCACCGGTCTGCACCAGCCCTCGGCCAAACACACACACTCCGGGTGCCAACGTTCGGTTTTCGAGCACACGACGCGTGCTCCTATAATACCCCCTATATAGGCCTCGTTCACCGGAACAATCTTTATACATTATATATATACGTGCGTGGTACATATGCATGAGGGATGATTAACTGCGTGGGCACAAGTATATCCGCCAACTACACCCCCGAAGCGCTATCCCTAGATGTCCATCGTCCTTTAAAAGTTACATACATCCCCTTATCTCTCTCTCGAGGTAAGTCTAACAAACGGAGCATCTTCATCGGAAATTCAGCTAATTTCCTCCATTATACGGGGGATGCACGTATAACAATTCCAATACAATGTGTGTGTACAGATATCTGTCCGAACGATCGATTTGACAAAATGACGTTGCACAGCCCATTACGGATTACGGCGGCGGAAAAAGTTGCCGTCACGTAACCCGTCACGTTTGACAGATGCAATACAAAATACAAATATAAGTTGCCTTTACACCTATATACGTATATTATGTGTATACATTGTAAGTTATACCGTCAAAAGCACCTGCTGCACAGTTATACGGCAGCACACACGACCATGAGAGTTTTCAAAGAGAGAGAGAGAAAGGAGACTCGAATTTTCAGCTTTTATGTGTTTCGAGGATGTGCCTTTGAATTTTCCTTCGTCTGAGAATACCGAAGCTCTCGAGTTGTTATGGGTTATTGTACGCCAATGTATGGACAAATTAATATCGAGCTAGCTAAGCCATTTCACTCGATTTTCTCTCTTATTACACTCAGGTACATGACCATACGCGTATATTCATACTCCGTTTTATACGTGATACACGAGTACATCTGTAATATAATTATCGGAGCAAAAGGCAGGGCGGGCAAAGGGTCGAGAAGGCTATATACATATATACACTTCGTGTGTATAGGAGCAAGCGAGAGAGCCTCAGCACGCCATCCTTTTCCCACGCTCCATCTCTTAAAGACATTGGTGAAGGTGTACATATATATGTATATATATATGTATCTGATGGTTGTATACGCGCACTGCTTTCTCTCTCTCTCTCTCCTCTCGCGCTTCTTCTTCTTCTCCTCTCCCTCTTTTGGTTCTGCTCCGAAACGCGCGCGCGTGCTCTCACACAGACACACCCACTGCTTTATACACACTTTTTACGTGCACGTGCTGTTATATTATGTGCATGTACATGGCGATGTTGGCGTGCGTTGATGTGGTCATGCTTCCCTATACATGTACCCATAGCCTCGCATTATTCGTTAAATGCCCAACGGAACAAAAAACAAAAAGAGTAGAGCATCTTGACAACAGATAGAATCAGAGACGCAACGGTTTAGGGTAGTTTTGGAGCACGAAAAAGAGTCACTGCTCCGAAATGTTTTTTTTTTTTTTTTTGGACCAAGAGATTGTTTTCGTCGTATATATGAGTTATACCCTCTGTACTTCACGCTTGTGTATCGTATACTTAAACGCTCCTCTCGAGTTTTAGCCAACAGCCAGCCTTTAGTTACTTAAGCGGTTCGAAACGAAAGAGATATGAAGAGAGAGAGAGAGAGAGAACGAGAGAAATCAGGAAATTGACAGAGGGCGAGTTATTTTCGGTATAGGTATACAAAGTGGGAAGATGTGTGGGAGATGGTCGAGGGAAGGCAGGAAGAGGGGGGATATGGGTGCACATACACACATACACGTAGATAAGATATACACGGTGAGGCGTCCGAACGATCGGATCGCCTTTCTGACGAGGAAAGTCAACTGTATGGGTGTATGTGTAACGTAGCGCTGAACAGCAGCAACACTCGGAATAATCCGAAACGAAATACATAGAAGTCCAAACAAGAAAGTTAATACTCCGCTTATTGTGTGCGTGTAAGTATGAGAAGTTCTACAACTTTAAAGGGATTTCCCAAAATTGGGAGATAAAAAAAAATTTTTTTTTTCTTCCCAAGGATTTTTGAAAATTCATGTGGACGTTAACTCGATAATGTGTGTGGGACACGCCTTTTTGGTTTCTCAATACGGTTTTGAGTATTGTTTGATTTTGTACGTTTCTTTGTTTCTTTACGTGTTTTAAAAATAAAATAAGTAGGAAATGTATCGGTTTCCGCTTAAAAACTGTACACTTCAAGAAAACATTTTTGAGAATACTTCTGACATGTGTACAGATACTAGAGGCTTAAAAGTTTAGCATTCAGTAAAAAATAAAACAAAATAAAAAAAAACTAATGTTCACCAACAATTTTATAAAACGGAACAATACTCGTTTATATTGTAAATTAATAAAAAAAAAAAAAATTTCTCACACATTGAATCTGTGTGTATATGTAACCCTGAATTTGTTGATTTAAAAAAAAAAAAAAAAAAAAATCAATTGCAAATTCAAAGAGACGCTCGAATCTATAAAATCGTATTAGCTGTTTTTTTTGCGGACTCGCCCTTTGTACGCGTGTACAATTTTCTATACATAATATTATAACGCGTAAGCGTGATGTCGGCCCTTTTGCCCCCGTATAGCCCCTCACGACAGGCATAGCCACGGTAGTTGTCATTGCGTCTCCCGCTCGATCGTGTGTCTCTCCCGCCTATACACCCTCTCACCCCGACAGCCTCGCCCTTAGCTTATATAGCTACCCTTAAACATCTATACTCCCACTATATTGTACCGTTATGCCCACTTACTCCACTTTTATACCATAGCGACACGCGCTTGAATGTATGTATACATAAGCTACCATTTGTACACGTGTATGTAGGATCGCGTAAAATTTCCGGGGGGTGATAGACAGACGTGGGCTTTCTACCACTTTATACGTATACACACACATCCAAGACATCTCTTCCTTTCTCTCCTCACACCATTGCGTTCGTCGTCGGTTGTTGTCGACCACCTCCTCCCTTATCTGTCTCTAGCCAATATAATTGTATCCTATACTAGTTATAGACGAGTACTATTATGCATTACTTATTTATTGCAGCGCTTCTTTTTTTCTTGGAAATTCGTGTGTTGTTTTTCCTACCAACGATGGTATAGACAATCACCTGGAACTTGATTTCTCTCTCTAAAAGCCGAGTATATTATGTGGTGTATATAGATAAGACTCGTGAGGGTAAAAAAATCGTTGTGTAACATTCAGAGGAGGACGAGAAGTTTTGCACGATCGATGCTGTCATTTTTTGGTTTTTAATGCTTATGTAAGAGCCTCCCTCCCACTTGCACTCATTTGTCATGTGACTGATAGTAGCACTTTAATTAATTGAAATTAAAATCAGCTGCCAAAGATCATTCTTGGATGCTTTTGTAAACTAAAATCTAACCAATATGTAGCATACGGTATACTATTGATACTTGTTCAAAATATACATATGTTATGTGCATTGTCTGATTTTGATACGAAAGTTTGGGGTTTGGGGAATGATGAGAATGATAAAAAAATTTATCGACGTATTTTAGTTTCATGGCAATTGGTTTAAAACAGAAAAATATTTTACGTTCTTAATGAACTACTATATTTTGTAGTGATTTACAAAGTATTCGACTTTCAGTTCTTTAAAATACTTGGTAAAATATTTCAATTGGTTTTGATACAGACTTTTGTCAGATACAGTGAAGAACGTACATATTATCACCACGTATACTTGCAAGTCACGAAATCCATGAAAAAAAAAAAAAAAATGTAAAAAAAATGCGAGTTGAAGTAAGTGGGTACACACCCAAAAATTGTCCGAAGTGAAGTTTGGTCGGTGGTATAAGTATGTCGTGCGAAGACAAGCCAACTCGGAGAAGGAAGAACAGCGAAAATTTAGTGGAGTAGGGGAGAGGGGGGAAGGAGAGAAAAGTGAAAGGCTCGGGATATCTTTCTGTTTCGAAGTAATATTACATATAAAAGAAGGAAAAGAAAAAAAATACAAATGAAAGAAAAAAAAAAAAAAACACGAAGCACGTGGCATTGAGGGAAGAGCCCTTTGAAGAGAAAAAGAGAGCATGGAAGCAGCATGTGTAACGCAAACGGTCTAGAATATCATCACGAGCGTCGTCGATTTTTTTGACCTTCCCAATATCTTCCATGTGCCTCTCCTTTTGTTTCCATTTCACGGTGGTATACGTGGCTGTGCGCTGCTATACCTATACCGGCCTATATGGTTTCGCGTGGGTATAGGTAAGCCTGGAGC